AAGCTCAACACACATACGAAGACACCTTCCCATGTATGAAAAGCCTGAGCTTTCTCTCCCTGTGCTTGGCTCACGCATCGACATAATGCAGAGCGCCTGAACAGTCGTCAGGCTCGGGGTTTCATCGTCGAACAGAAGTCGTCTGGCCTCAGCGAAGAAGTGATCGCCTGCAGTACGGAAGTTGTCAGGATCCGTGCGACCTGCAGGATCATCCGTGAGATGACATGCATATGCGCATATAGCATTGACCAGTAGGGAGCAGCAATACTTGTCGCGCCCCGCTCTGAAGTCCTTGTAAAAGCTCTCTCGGCTGAAGAGCACGTAGAAGGGATGACTCCAGGTGAAATAGAGGTCAAGCAGCGTCTCAACAAAAGCCAAGTCATCGGTCACGTTGGTCCACGTTGACCCTTGACGCTCTGGCTTCACGCTGTTGGTACGCAACCGACCGCCACCGAAATTCTCATCCTCGGGTACCAGGCCTAGGCTTGCGGAATGTCCAAAGTGCCTGCTCTGGCCGGTGGACGTCACAGCTGGCTTCCCAAGCAGCACACTCAGATCTGACTCGAGGCTTTGAACGTCAATGGGCTCGCTCTGCGTCAGCGTCACGTTCTTGCGCCATGTTTCAGCTAGGGAGGCGAGGTCGAGGCTGGGGTCTCTTCGGATATGATTGAGGAATTCTTGGACATGTTCCTCAGGTAGGCGTCTCAGCGAATTGACAATAAACTCGGCGCTGGATGCATTCTCGGGGCCAGAGGCGGCGACAAGGGAGGCGTCGCGCTTGGTCCCAGTATTGTTTGCGATCGTCGGGGCAGCCTTAGTGCGACGACTTTCGCTTTCAGCATCGTAATGACATTCAGTCTTGTAGACGGCAGTGCAAGTCGCGCACACGGGTGTACCACCGTCACACTGTAGATGAGGTGTCAGCAGGAGGGCACTTGGCGAGGGACCGGGAAAGTTGCCCGGAGAGTGGCCCAAACAAGAGTTGCAGACAATCCTCGCTGGTAACGAGCCGTCCGCGGAGGCGAATCTCCAGCATCGGGCCAGATGTAGGAGCTCAATGTGGAATTGGATCATGCAGTGGGAAGATTGATGCTTACTTTGGACTTGCGTTTCCGGCAGGGCACACAGGCCGACTGGACACAACGCCGCTTACTGGCTTTTGTGTCCTGCGCCTGTGAGTTATCTTGGTCGTCTCTGTTGGAGGAGGTGGCAGTAGCGGCGCGGGCCATGGTTGATCACGAGGGGAATGAAGTGACAGTCCGCGTAGGCTCCGAGGACGAGTTAGTTATTCCATTCTCTGGGCCGGGTAGGAAAGTAATATGGATTAGCCACCCAATGTCGAGGCAGGAGAACAGCGGGCTCGGATTAGGTAGCTGTGACGTTGGCGCCCGTCGCGACGTTCAACGTGCCTGCCTTAGTTTGCGTTCGGCAAGATACAAACGCCCATGGATGATTTTCGGCAGGGTGGCAAAGCCAGAGGCGGCATCCAAAAGGATCGATGCGCGACCACGACGAAGAGGCTCGATTGGCCTGGGACCGGATCTAGATTGGAAGTTAAACGCCTACTGCAGTAGCCGATGGGCTGTAACAGGTGAATAGCGTGCGACAGGCTGTGCCACACGTGGGAATTCGAATCGAGATCCCGGAATGGCATGCGTCACCTGACATGTCCGCACGCGAGGGGCCTTTGCGGAGATAGAAGCGAACTTGGGACGACTCTATCGGTGGAGCCTGGTTTCGGGTACTGCAGCATCTGCTTGCGACAGGACAGAGTTTTTTGGAGCACCACCAGCATCAACGACTAGCTTCGGCATGGCGCACCGAGCAGTGGACGAATTTGCCATGGCTATCTTCACATGGATGATGCAAGGCGGCACACATGCTTGTGCGCGATCTCGATGTCGGCCGGACAAGGGAGCGACACTGACAAGAGCTGCTTGTAGACAAGAAGATAGACTGGAGGAAGAGGGGTTCGCGGAGCGTGTCCTATGTCATGTTGGCTCGCGGCTGCAAGCGAAGGGATCTCCAACAGCCAGGGTTCTTGCTTTTGGTGGAGGGGAAGGCCCGATAGCATCCGCTGCCAATGCATCCTCCTTGCCCTCTGGTCGCCCTCTTCTCACTGTGTGGCGACTTTGCGGCCCCCACACTGTCTTCCGCGAGGCTGGAAGTCCTTGCCGGTGAACATCGGCCTCTCTATGGACAAAGACACCAGGGGCCGGTGCCTATTACCATTCTATCGGAATGTCTGGACTAGTCTACAGTTGCATGCCGTATCCTATAATTTACCGATAAGATGCACGTAGCAAAGGTCGAGATGCAGTTCTACACTTTTGCCCAGTCGGCTCGCATGTAAACTATTCGTCTCGCCGACGGACCCGTCAGCTCGGCCGAGGGTTGTAGACAAGTTTGTATGATCATGGGTAGCATCTGAACTAGTTCTCGCTGCTGAACTTGCTGTGTTCAGACTCAGATTGACCTTTGAGCCCCTCTGTGGACTCTGATCTTGTGGAGTCGTGACACTTTTATCTATACATCAAGTCTAATAACTTTCATCCATCTCGGCGCAAAAACATCGTACACTTGCAGCTGGCGCCTTAACTCCCGTTATACCCGACTTACATCATCCGGCCTATCAAGCGCCATTGACAGGTTGGACACCCTTTAGCGGTGGAAGCAAGCTCCTCGCGCCTTGTCTCGCCTGCTGGGCCAGCACAGCATCCATGATGACCAATGCAGCCATCATCTCGACAATGGGTACTGCACGAGGCACTACACAAGGATCGTGCCTGCCCTTGGCCTCCAAAACTCCTTCCTCCTGGTCGTATGTGACTGTGGACTGCGCCTGTCCAATTGTCGCTGCCGGCTTGAAAGCTACGTTGAAGTAGATGGGCGCGCCGTTGGTGATACCACCCTGGATACCACCCGAGTTGTTGGTCTTGGTGGTGAGCTTGGGTTTTGAGCGGTACTTGCTTGCATCGGGGTTCTCGCCTGCCGGGACAGCAGGAGCTTTGACGAACGCGTCATTATGAATTGAGCCTGGTAGTTGTGCGCCTCCGAAACCGGAACCGATTTCAAACCCCTTGGTTGCGGGAATCGACAGCATAGCGTGTCCCAGCTTGGCCTCCAGCTTGTCAAAGCATGGCTCTCCCAGGCCTGTCGGGCAACCTCTTATTACGCAAGTCACCGTGCCACCTATGCTGTCTTGTGCGTCGCGGTACTTGGCGATCAAGTCCTCCATGCGCTTGGTGACATCGTCGCTCGGACACCTGACGGGCAGGTACTCGTCTACCTTGTTGCGTGTGATCGAGTCGATTAGCTTGAGGTACTCTGGGTTCGTGGATGCGGTAGGGTGTTCGGGTGTGGGAGGGAAGAGGAATTCGTTTCCGATGGAGTTGGTGAATGCGATGATCTCGATACCGTAGGCTTCGCGCAGGTACTTCTCCGCGATCGCACCCGCTGCTACTCGTCCTGGGCACCATTAGCAATGGTACGGTGTTTGTGCCGGAATCCGCTCACCAATGGTCTCTCGTGCGCTACTTCGGCCACCACCTGAGCTAGCCTTCACGCCGTACTTCTCCAGGTATGTCCAGTCGGCGTGGCTCGGTCTTGGGTACATGTCCATCGTCTTGTTGCCGTAGTCTTGCTTGCGCTGGTTCTCGTTCATGACCCTGACGCCAATCGGGGTGCCCAGTGTGATGCCAAACTCTGTGCCAGACTGGATCTCTACGCGATCTTTCTCGTCGCGGGGGGTTGTGATGGCGGACTGGCCCGGTCGGCGGCGCGTCATCTGGGGTTGGATGTCATCCTCAGTAAGGGCCATGCCCGGCGGGCAACCGTCGATAATGGCGCCGACGGAAAGACAATGGGATTCGCCATAGCTATCGCAGGTCAGTAGACGTCGAGCAGCTATACGGCGCGTATGCATACGTGGTGACCCTGAAATGCGTGCCAAAGGTAGACATTGTGGTTGTGGTGTTGGCGGGATTGTGGGGATTCGGCTCCCTTGTGAACGGCGACTAGTCAATGAGATGCGTGCTCGGTGTATCCAAACGTCTGTCTATGTGTTAAAAGAGCGCCGGTTTGATTATTGTCTTGTTGCAGGTCCAGACGCGTGCGCTAGAATAATCAATGTCAGAGTCACTCTAGGAGTTTTATTTATTTAGCGGGGCGCGGAGTACAGCCGTCTGGGAACCCGAGATCGGCCCCCGATGGTAAGGCTGGTATGAACCAAACGACGGTACCCTCCCATCGGTGCGTCAACGCAATCCCATACAACATTTAAAGTCAGCATTGCTGTGCGAGGAAAGTCATTCGTTCAGAGATTGATGAGGTTGCCAATTTGCAGACACCAAGATATCCCCGCAGGCAATGCGAGCGAGCATGGCTGGATCCCACTCCGTGCATGTAATTGAAGCATCTCAACTGCATGATCAGATTCAGAAGAAACATGGAACAAATGGCAAGTAAGTGGGCTGTCTTCGCCATCGGGATGGTGACTGGATTATGTTGCCATGAGGATGTGCTTGCAGGGTCAACGTTGTCGCCCAGACAGACAACCCCACACCACATGACATGCGCTGTTCTTGCGCTGTACAAAGCTTCCGGTCAAGGAAAGACTGGCGACCACATGTGCGTGGGCGAGTGGGCCGAACAACTCAAGACGATGCCACGCGCGAGGGCGACTGCGCCTGGAAACGGGTTCCTTGGTTGAGGGCGCAGATGGCAGGAGTGGCAGTCGCATCATGCTAGTATCAAGTAAGATGAAGGGGCGCCTAATCGACACTGGCGCAGAGAAGGCGATGAGAGAGCATGGCGAGAACAGAGTTTGGACGTGTCTGAAGGATGAATGGAGAGTGGGTGGACTGGCAGGCACGAAGATCATCCGGGATTACTAGCGCGGACCCTGCCGTGACTTCTCAAGAAGTTTTGCTTGCAGCCAGCAACACGACGCCCTAAACACCCCTCTTTCCCCCATCACATCCCCCACCAAACCGCCCAACATGACTGAGTACGTCAAGGTCGAGAAGATCATCCCCAAGTTCCCGCCGCCGGCGTTCAGCGACATCGCCAAGGCCTCCAACGACGTATGTTTTGGCTCCCCGCGACGAGCTTCCCCATGGCGCCATTGCTAACGGAGCCGCCCTCCAGCTCATCAACAAGGACTTCTACCACACTGCCGCAGGTCCGCGACTCCAATTGATCCGCCTGCCCTCCCACTGACGCGCCCACAGCTGCCCTTGAGGTCAAGCTCAAGGCCCCCAACGGTGTCAACTTCACCGCCAAGGGAACCTCTGCCCACGATGGCCCCGTCACTTCCTCGGTAAGCCCGCCATTGCACGCGGAAAAACGCCATGGCTAACGCGTCCACCAGCTCGAGGGCAAGAAGTCGCTTTCCAACGGTACGACAAACGGTTCCTTTCTCCCCCGCTCCACGAGCTTCTTCATACCCCTTCATACGTCTTCCAACTTTCAATCTTATATATTTCACGTCAAGCAGCCTCCCGGCAAGGGGGGCTTTTCGGACGCCGGCTACGGAATCAACTTGCTGACAACGAACGACGCAGGCATCAGCATCACCCAGTCATGGAACACTGCCAACATGCTGGCCACCAAGGTCGAGCTCAACGATACCTTTGCCAGCGGCTTGAAGACTGAGATTCTCTCCAACTTCAACCCCGCTGCTGGCAACAAGGGCCAGAAGGTCAACCTGCACTTCAAGCAGCCTGCCTTCCACGGCCGCGCTTTCGTCGACTACTCGGCTGCTGGCGCCATTGGCACCACCGCTGATGCTGTCGTCAGCCACGAGGGCATGGTCGTTGGTGGTGAAGTTGGTTACGATGTGCAGAAGGCTGCCATCACCAAGTACTCCGCCGCTGTCGGATACACCACCCCTCTCTACAACGCTGCCGTGACTGCCACCAACTCCCTGAGTGTTTTCACCGCCTCGTACTACCAGCGCGTCAACCCCGCTGTCGAGGCTGGTGCCCGCGCTGTCTGGGACTCAAAGTCCGGCAACAACGTCGGTCTTGAGCTCGCTGCCAAGTACAAGCTTGACCCTGCGTCTTTCGCTAAGGTAAGACGGTCCCTGACATGCACGAGGGCGTCTGTACTAATCCCATCCAGGCCAAGATCAACAACCTCGGCATTGCTTCCCTCGCCTACAACACCAAGGTCAACAGCGGTCTGACCTTCGGTATTGGTGGCTCTTTCGATACCCAGAAGCTGAACGAGGCCGGCCACAAGCTCGGCACCAGCTTCACCTTCGAGGGTTAAGCACCTCGGAAATAGATATGTTTGTGGAAAAGAGATGAAGGAGCTGGCTTTTAGATTCTTTTGGTTCTCGCGAAGCAGTATCATGTCAATCTAGTGCCGATGAGCGAACGGAGCATACTCCATGGGTATGTGCGACGATTCGTCTCAATACAATTTACTAGGACTCTGGACCCCGATCTATATGCTCCTAGTGATGATGTGTAGTTACTGAATCCGTACCCGTAGTGAAGGCATGGGAGCGTGATAACAAGTTCGTTCAAAGAAGAGGAAGGCAAGTGAAAGCTGATCAATCGGGTATGGTATTTTTTACTTCTTGTTAATTCCGGTATATGCAATGCCCAGTCGTGGTCATGTAGCCGTCGCCTCATGAGCTCGAAACATATAGCTTCGTTCTACTTGTTGTCACATGTCGCTGTGAAATTGCGGATGCTTCATGTTTGACGTGTAATTGGAGCTCAGTAGTCGTCACCGCGACTAAGAATCTCCTTGCAGTTGGGGCGAAGCACGAATGTCTGTATTGCGTTAGCAAACATATCCACAGTGTTGACCAATGAGCTTGACTACTTACATGTTCACTCTGTGCTGTATAACTGCCCTTGATATCGCACAGCGGGGGGTAGGCCTCGACAATCCCCGCGCTGACCAGGTTGTTCAAGCCCAAGAGGTACTTGTCATGGCCCATGCGATCAAGATACCGCCTGCAGAATGGCAGAGTACCGAAGTTCTTGGTAATGGAGTTGAGGAGTGTCTTTGCTGACGAAACGCGGAGAGCGACTTTGGGTGCGTCGGCCTTCTTGGCGTAGTGAGATGTTTCCATCTGTAGTACTTGTTAGATCAAGCGTAGCCTTACTACTAGTCGAATGACTTACGTCGTCCCGAACGTATCCCTTTCCTGTGCTGCCGAATGTTTCGATAGCGAATGTTTCTCCTTCTTCCATCTTTGTTTGGTCGCCACCCTTGACGATCGGTACAGTCTTGCCGCCGTGGATGGTGTAGTGTCCGATAGAGTGTCCGTTCAGATTCCTTATGCACTTGACGGGCAGCATCTGTCCCTTAATTTCCACCTCGTAGCTCTCCATGACTTCCTGGATAGCAGCGCCAATATCACTCATGCGGACGTCGATACCGGCCTCCTTGATACCAGCGTTTGTCGCAGCCTTGCATGCGTTGATGAGATTGTCGTATACGGGGTCGAAGGTCAGGGTGAACGCGCTGTCCACAATACGTCCGTTGATGTGTACGCCGAAATCGACCTTCATGACATCTTCGTAGTTGATGACCATTTTGTTGCCCGCATTAGGGGTGTAATGCGCTGCACAGTGATTTATGCTCAGACCAGTCGGGAACCCCATGCCCGCTATTTGTGCGTCACCATCCTCCAGACCCTGGTGTCCTGTCAAGGCGCGAACCGAGTCCTCGATACCCTCCGCGATCTCGGTAAGCGACATGCCCGGCTTGATCCAGTTCTGAGCCCATTGCCGAACTTGACGGTGAATCTCTGAGCCTTTGCGGTATTCGGTAAGGAAGTCATTGTTCATGCGGTCAAGGTGGCGCTTCTCTTCGTCGGTGGTCCGGTAGGCGTTCTCGTTGACGTATTCTTGGATTTCGCCCTCGGGGTACGAATCGTTGGGGAACAGCTCATCGATGCGGACTCGTGGCGGTGATGTCTGCACTTTGGGCCCTCCTGCGCCGCCTGCTGCGCCAGCCTTCTTCTTCTTTCTGGGCTTCCTCTTCTTCTTCTTTTTCGCAGCGCCTTCGCCGGTTTCTGGTGCTCCATCTTCGGCCTCGTTGTCATCGTCTGAGTCATCGTGATCCGCGTCGCCTGTGGGCTTTTCGCCGTTCTCTGCTGCGCCGTTTGTTGGTTTGCCGTTGGTGTCGTCCACTGTACGCTGTTAGGCGATGTAACGCGAGAAGTAGCGTTTCCATACACTTCATGTTGGCGACTTCGTCCGCTACCTTGGCCGCCATGTTGGCCGTGTCGAGAGTGCAGTAGTGCGTGTCTCGTGGACAATCTCGAAATTTACGAGCGTCTGGAAACGCCCCGCTAACTGACGCCGGTGGAGTGTCGCCCACTGACTGGGTTCTGAAGCTAGGCCATGCTTGTCTTAGCCTCGGGAGCTTGGCGATGACGTCCTCCATGCGCGCCGAACATTCACCCAAACTCATGTTTCTGCATGGGCACCCTCACCTTCGGATACTGGTAATGGGCAATGCCACCCCGCCCATCTAGTTTACTGCGATCAATCGCTCAAACGTCGACTTCTCGACTGTCGCGCATATCCTCGCCATACGTCTGCCACTCATGTCTCCGTCGCACGGGTCCCGCTCTTTCGCGGCGCGTACAAGTCTCGCATTTCCATGCTACGGCTCCACGATACGCGGATGCCCTAGTCAATCACTACGAGACGCTACACCTCACTTCGGCGGCGTCTGCTTCTGAGATCAAGCGCCAGTTCTACACGCTCTCGAAGAAAAACCACCCGGACCACAACCGCAACGACCCCGAAGCCTCCACACGTTTCGTCGCAATAAGCGAAGCATACCACGTTCTCTCTGTACCAGAGAAGCGGGCGCAATACGATGCGCAACTAGAGCACTCGCAAAGACAATCGCGCTGGGGAACGAGCGGGAGTGAATATCCGCAAGGGAGTTACAGTTCCGCTGCATATGGCTCAAGGCCGGCCAGCGGGCTGAACAAGAAGCGCAGTACTTTCCGAGGGCCACCGCCCTCGTTCTATAAGGCTGGCGGCTATGGACGTCACGGTGCGAAGCGAGCCGAATACGCATATTCCAACGCACAGGAAAATGGGGAGGCTTCCAAGCATGCTGGTCAAGAATCCTACGGCGAATGGGGTGGATTTGGCCCTGGTCAGCAGAAACAAGGGAATCAAGTTCCACACTTTGACAACATCAGGCATAAAGAAACGCAGGACAATGTGAACGAGCACATTTGGGCCAGGCGGAAAAAGCTGCATAGGAACATCAAGGTAGAGGAGGAGTGGGAAAAGGGCAACATGATTGTTAACTTCCTCGCGGTTTCTGCTGTCATCGCCATGATCGGGATCACGGCCAAGTTTTTCGAAAGCCGGCATGAGTCGCACCCACGTAAAACTAAAGAGAGCGCTTGAGCTGGTGGTGTCATCACTGTCTATCCTAGCGAAGAAAACAGTATAAAGATGAATCATATTCGCAGAGAATTTAGAGGCCAACGTGAACGCTACATTCATTGATCTACCATTTGTACTGGAATTGAGGCTGGAAAAGAGACATGTCTGGTTTCGATCCTGTATGAGGTGCCGCTGCTTGATATACTAGCGACCTGCACATCTCCTCAAATTCTATCCGACTTCGTTCCGATCTGTTTGGGCGTTCCCGTCCGTCTTCGGCTCTATTGCGATTCTCTAGGTGTTCTAGGGTAGGCCTCAGAAGGTTCCATAACAAGTATGGCACCGTACGCGTCATCATGCAAGCTGGCTCCTGCTTCGCGCCATGAATGTACATGGTCCAGTCCATGCTCAATCCTGGTGAGTGCTTCCGGAATGCGCACCCGCTTTCGAGCTCCGTCGGCAGTTGCAGTAGGCCTTCTTGATGTAGTTGACTGAAGTAGGTCCATGTCGGCTGGAGGAAGAACATGTGTACCCACCAGCGTGGTACGATGATGCGCGTATCATGATCCCTACGACCAGTTGTTGGATTCAACGGGTGATAATACGTCGTAATCTTGTCCGGATTGTCGATAGTCCAGATGTTGCCGCCGAAGGTATAACGCTCCCAAGCATCCCCTAATTTGGGGCTGATGTCAGCCAATTGATAAAGAGGGTCTCCATGAGTAGTCGTGGGTCTACAAATATATTAGTGGCAACTCGTAATGAACATTTTCAAAGATCGACTTACGAGGGTGGATTCTCGATGCTGCTGCGATGATACCAGACGGCATGGGCAAGTTCGTGGCAAAGAGCGATAGCGATTCTCAGGGAAATCGCCTCTTGATCGTATCGAGACCCATGATTGACAACGTGACGAATTGCGTAGAGGTGGTGAGTATGGAGCTGGATCCGTTGACAGTACGTAACCTCGGAAACACTCGCGCCTGTGCCGAAATATGCCATGGCATCGAATTGGAACCCGTCCTCGTCGAGTTCATCAAACCCGAGCCTTAAATATCTTGGCAGGGTGATATTAAGCATTTCAGTTGTCATCAGGTGAGCTGTTTTAGTTGCCTCATATGCCGATGGGGCAAGATAATACCTTCGCTTCTCCTCAAGGTACTTGAGTTCCCCATGGAGGACATGGTTGTGGAAAGACATGGAGGATGCTTGTCTAGTAAGCTGCGTAGCAACCTTCAGAGCAGGTAGTAGCCGCAGATAGTCCTCGTGGCTTAAGTTCACCCACTGCGCTGGCTGGAATAGCGGATGTATGTCTTCGCAAGTAGCATTTGTGGGCGTTATGTTGTTCAGAAATGCCAGTGCAGGCCGATGGCGAGCATAATCAAGACTTGTAGAGACATCGGGAAGTGACCGGAGGTATCCGTAAGGGTCCGGAGTGGGTCGATTTTCATCGGGCAAATCCAAAGCGCGCGTGCAGCAGTGCGACATGGTTGAACAAATCTGAATGGTATTCTTCTCGACAGCGGACATCTTGCACAGATAATATAGAAAAAGAGACAAATCGGGAGTTTGGCTATCAGAAGGGGCTACCAGGGTTCGCGACACTCTACCCATGGACCTGCACTGAATGTCGTGACTCGCAGCCAACCATCTATTCAGATGCCAGCCCACCACAATCTTGTCCTTCCATCAAGTAGTCTTCTTCGTTATGCGATAACTGCACTAGTTAGCTGTGGCTCATCAGAGATGTTTTGAACTTACAGGAACAGCTTTTCCCTCGAGTATACCTCCTTATCAGGATCATCGTCAACCTCCTGTACGTTGAACATCTTGCGCGCCGTCTTCATGAACGTCAGATCCGCCCGTCTCCTCCTCTTGAAGCAGAAATAGCACACAGTGTTGTCGCCGATCAAGTCTTGCAGAGTCTTTTGCAGCAACGGAAAAGCAGGCTCGAAGTACACACAATCTGCTGCCAGGATGATGTCCGGGTGTGCTGGTAGGTGTGACGGTGTCGGTTCTCCCCAGTCGTATATCGAGGCGTTGACGCGAGAATCCAAAGAGTTTAGTGTGATGTTGCGCTTCATGAGTTCGAACATGGGCTCTTGATCCGTGATATGTAATGTGGTGTCGACTTTGCATCCTATCGCGACCGCCAACCCGACAAGCCCGCCTCCGGCACCAAGCTCGACTATCTCTTTACCTGCGACATCCTCTCGATGTTTTCGCAGCATGTATTTGCTCAGTACCATACCGGCCGGCCATAGTTGACCGCCGCAGCCGTTTTTCAGGTCCTCATGTAGTTTGAGTGGGGGTGACAGGAGGCCGTCAAAATCTATCTCGGAGGCGCCCGCAGGTTTGATGGGCGCGGGAGGAACGAGGTCCTGACTAACACCGAAAAAGTCGTTTTCCTCGGCATGCAACATGTTGGACAGGTCAATCAGGAACCGTGGTCACATTTCGTGAGCATTGGTTGTGCCTCTGCGTAGGCCCAAAACGGCATTAGCGTTACCGGATGTAGGAAAGCGCCGTCCCGGCCTGCGATCGAGGCCTTTGTGACACTCCATCGACATCTGGTGCCGGCACTCCATCGAATTGTTGAATTACCATGCTCGCGTATGACGCGCCGCAAAAGCATATCACGAAGTCACGAGCAGCAGAAAGTGGTGCTAGAGATAGTTTCGGCTAATGCACCTTTCACCCGGCTTTCCTGTTATTGACCTTGGAGAGCCTTCCTTATCTTATCGTCGCGCAGCGATCGACACGATCTCCTGGTCAAGCCAATGGCATCTGCACATGCTGCCTATCAAGCGCCTCAATGCTGGGCACTTGTGAAAGGGAGGGAAGCGGACACCGGGAACAGGCTACGCTCAGCCGAGGTGGCTTGCTTGTACCTGCTGCAGCTTAAACCCTTGCCCACGTCTTCCCCGCTACATAGCCTCGTACTCATTACCTGGATCTCTATATACATCGTTATAGCAGGCTGATTAACCTTGACACCGAACCTCTACTGATAACTCACAACATGGGCTTGCCTACCGAGGTCCTGCAGGCCTGGGAAGCTTGCGACAGGACTGATACACTCTTTGTGCTTGTCTGTTCGGTCTTCTGTATGTATACCTTCCATGACTATTCACTATATTGGCTGACCCTGTCAAGGCTGGGGTATTATTCCAGCTGTAGGCATAGCTTATTCAGGTTACACTACACGCTCCAATTCCCTAGCAGCAGTTATGCCAGCTATCCTAGCAGTGATAGTCTGTTCGATACAATGGTTCCTCATTGGATACACCTTGACATACGGAGAAGGAGGAGCTATCTTTGGAGATTTCAAGTACGCCTTTCACAGGAATGTGCTAGCAGAGCCTGTTGGTACCATTCCAGCAGTGCTATTCAGCTTCTTCCAATTAGTATTTCAGGCCACAGTTTGTGCCATTGCGGTTGGCGGCGCGTGTGAGAGAGGAAGAATACTGCCGTTGATACCATTCATATTTGTGAGTCCTACCTGTAGATCGATGGCATATCTGTGAGCTTGACTGAACAACGATAGCTTTGGTCTACCTTCATCTACAACCCGTTAGCCCATATGGTCTGGGGCGGAGGTTTCCTTATGGACTTAGGCGTTCTCGATTTCGCAGGTGGTACGCCCGTACATATCAATTCTGGAGCAACAGCAACGGCGATTTCCGTATACCTTTCATACCCCTTGTTCCGCTCGCGCAAGTCCTCGACTCGTACACCAGCGCATCTGGTCATCCACCGGCCGGTCAATTCTTTATGCCAACTTCTCGCGATGATTAGCATATGGGGCTCATGGCTCGCTTTTGACGCTGGTACCACTCTGGCCTTCAACTTCAAGTCAGTGATGGCCTTGTGTGTCACGAACCTCTGTGCTGCCAGTGGGGCGCTCACGTGGATGCTCTACACCTATGTAGAGGTTGGGCGCTGGAGTCTAGACTCATGCTTCATGGGCGCCATCTCTGGACTCATTATGATCACACCCTCGGCGGGTTTCATCGATCTACCAACAGCCTTCTTCTTCGGAGTGCTTGGTGCACTGTTTTGTCGTCAAGCGCTTCGCATCAAGTTCAGCGACTTCGCTCGGCGCTGGAGATGGGTTGATCATGGAGACACCTTTGCGACACATTGCCTTGGTGGCATCTTAGCAACGATCTCGACAGGGTGTTTTGCTCGGAAAGAAGTCGCAGGGTATGATGGAGTCACGGAAATTGTCGGTGGAGTATTCTTCGATGGGAACGTACGGCAGCTCGGTATCCAGGTTGTGGAGGCTCTCGTCGGGTTTTTATGGTCTTTCATCGGAAGCTATGTTATGTACGCGCTTATTGACTGTGTACCGGGCTTCGAAGTACTGGCCGAAGACAAGTAAGTCGCGTTGACGATTGGAAAGATGGGGCTAACAGATGATCAGGGACATCATAGCAGGCCTGGATGCAAGTCAGATGGACGAAGAAACGTTGTGGACCGAAACACAGAAGTATTATCCCTATGCCGAGCGCGAAGGCGAGCTGCATCTCGAATGAAAGACTGGAAGTTCACAGTCACAAGGATATGACCCGGTTCTACAGTGGTGCATGAAACAGTCACTGTAAGATGCATCGGTAACAATATCTCAATCACACCAATACTACTCTTTCAGAAGCAACCAGAAATCACCCACAAGTCTATTGACGTAGCGCAGGGTCGTTATGTTGATATTCGTAACTCGCTTCAGATTCATGTAGCAAACCCACACTTTCATCCTGACGGACGTCTCCAAGCTTTAAGTACACAAGATAAGCACCAATTCGAAACGCTTAGCTGTTTATTCGCGTCTTCGTCCCGCACCCAAGTCTCCTAGCATACTTACGCAAGCGCCCACAGACTTCACCAAGCGTCGTTCCTGGAACATCCCGTGGATCAAAATCATCACCTGCATAATCACCAAACCTTCCATTGGCCATAGTAATCTCACAATATGGATAAGAGATACTCCGGATGCGCGCGTGCACCCAAAGTGTCGTGAGTTTGGGATGGAAGCGTTTGCCAAGACATGCCTACGCGTCTTCTTCGGAGGAAGCTAGCAGTTCCTGACCCGCACATACGTAAGGCACGTCAATAGCAGCGTAGCCAATCTAGACGGATGTCAATGAGCTTTCGAGACTAGATCGCAATTTTTGGGTCCTCCGCCTCTCAAAATCGTTTAGCCTCGCGCTTGCGTACCCGCTCTAGACTTTACAGCCCTTCCCAGTATAACATAGATAGCCACGTAAGCCTCCAATCACAGACTACGCAATTGAAATGGGTAGAGTTTAGCAAAGAATTCCGTTCCAGGGTCAAGATTGACGTTGACGCTCGGCGTGGAGATGCCGATTGTGGAGATTGAGAGGTTGGGAGAAGTATCGATGGAACAGACAGATTACACAGAGTTGCCCGACAGTGAGAAATCTTTAGAGAGCATATATGCATATAGATACATAGCTTCTCACATCATTTAGGAGAATGTGTCGCAACATTGCCACCGTACAGTGCGTAGTTCAACAACAAATCCGATCAACACAGATGAAGCTTTCAGCGGCGGGCCTAAACGTGCACAGCTACCCGCCTGCTCCGCCAAGGATGAGGACACTACGAAACAATACAATGTCTTGCGTATGCTTGTGACGACTCGTACATGTAGAGGAGAAACATGCAGGACGGTGGGCCTAAGACTTAGAGAGCAAGGGTAGGGGTGCGAGTACCATGCCTCTGTTTCGTTTCCCCTGTGGACATCGCGATCCAGATGTGACGTCGAGACGTCTGAACAATACATATAAAGCTCCTGGTCGACAGCCGTGCAAGCCTTCATCACCACCACTTCTCTTTGCATTCTCGACCCAACAAGTACCTGCCCATCATGAAGCTCACAGCTCTTCTCAGCATCGCCCTCCTTGCTCAGGATTCTCTCGCTCACCCAGGTCAGAGCGCCGCAGAGCATGCACAGGAAGCTGCTGAGCGAAGAGCCTACCTCGCGAACAACAAGCGGTCCCTTGCCCACTGTGCTGATACACTGAAGGCGCGTGGCAACGACATCGCTATGCACGCTCGTCGCAGCGCCATGGTAGAGAAGCTTCGAGCTAAGCGGGCTATCTCCCAAGGTACACTCCCTCCCATAGTACGCCGATGGCTGGATACTGATATGTTGCACAGATAAACCGTACCTCCGGATCCGCGACCTGGATACCGTGCTCGCCACTGATCACAAGTCAAACTTGACTGGCATTACCACCGATACTGATCCTGCCACCCTCTTTGCAGGAAACAACTCCTGCGTCCTTACACCCGAGGTGACCCAAGGCCCCTACTGGGTCGAAGGCGAACTCGTGCGTGAGGATGTTACCGAAGGCCAAGAGGGCATTCCTATGACACTGGACATCCAGATCATCGACGTGAACACGTGTGAGCCTGTTCCTCAGGCTTTCCTCGAGATGTGGCACTGCAATGCTACCGGCGTATACTCTGGTGTTGTAGCGCAGGGCAACGGAGCCGGCGAGGACGACGAGTCAAACTTGCAGAACACGGCGTTGCGTGGCATCCAGCAGAGCGACGAGAACGGCGTCGTGTCGTTTCAAACTGTTTTCCCAGGGCATTATACGGGACGTGCTGTAAGTGTTCACCAGGTCTCTAGTACCCCTTTTCTTAGTACACAAGAACTAACTCGAGACGATGTTGTAGACGCACATTCACGTCATGTCTAGACTCAACGCGACTGTAAACGCCAACTCGACACTCTCAGGCGGCCACATTACACACGTGGGCCAGATGTTCTTCGACCAGGATCTCATCACACTCGCGGATACAGTAGAGCCGTACGCCAGCAATGAACAGGAAATTACTTCAAATGCCGACGATTCCATTCTTGCGGAGGAAGCTGCGGATGTTGACCCATTCGTAGAGTATGTCATGCTCGGCAACGACATCTCAGAGGGTCTTTTTGGTTGGCTGGCATTCGGCATGGACTCCGCCAACGCCTACAACATCACCCCAGCGGCGTACTGGACTGACGAAGGCGGCGTCGAGAATGAGGACGCTGGTGGTATGGGTGGGGGCCCAGGTGGTGCTCCTCCTTCTGGCGCTATGCCTTCTGGCACCGCTATGCCTACCGGTGCCATGCCATCGGGAAGTGCTATAGAGTCGGGTACAAGCATTGCTGTAGCATCGTCTTCGAACATCGCAATCGCCACATCTGCTACCTCCTCAGTTACCAGCGAGGTTACCCCTAGTACCTCCGCGTTGGCCACGCCCTCGAAAGCCCGTCCGTCCAAGGTACTACTTTCCAACGGCCCCCAGATCGCACATGGACGTGGCAAAGGTCAGACGGGCCAACCTCACGACCAGAACCAGTGGGCTCAACACGATGTTCCGGCACAGGGGCACTAACAATGTGTCTATTTCAAGATAGACCATAGTAGTTCGAGGAGAGAGTCAAGCGTAGAGACATGTTGCTTGCAGGACTAGGTTGCGGGTTAGCAGTGGTATTTCGAAGTGTGCTAGAGTTTTGAACTGGGGGAAGCCAACTTCAGCCACTCATTTGGAGGAAAGTCTTTACCTGTATATTGTGTACCACTGGACAAAATTGTCACACTACCAGTGTGTCCTGGACTTCGGTGTTCCTCGTTTCGATGCTCTGCGTGATGATTGACCGAGAGCTCAGCGGTGAGCGTTGACAAAAGCGCATGTCTCCCATATGCCTGCATAGCCAACCGCTTTATTCGAAACTGCGCTTCTCAATTTTCGAGTGCCTTCAATCCGTCGACCAACGCGCCAAAGCTCTTGACCCTAACGTGCTTCTTTGGATCCTCACCACTCCCTGCGTCTTGAGCGTCATGTACCATGCTCTTCTCTAGCTCGGCGTCCAACTGCCTTTGAACTTGTTCGCGATCTAACACTTTTCTCGCCTCCTCGAAGCCCCCAATATCTCTTACGCTCTTGAACCCCATCTCCCTCAACCTTCCCAGCGCAATACCCGACCGTCTTCCACTCCGACAATACAGCGTGATTCGATCGTCCTTTCCCACGTTTATGCCTTTCGCTGCGTAGATTTCGGGTAGTTGGTCGATGATCTGGTATTCGATATTTACGGTGGGTGCGATGTCGGAGGTAAGGTAGCCGGTCGAGAACTCGGCTGGGGAGCGGACATCGATCAGAAGGTCTTGGGTGGTCATCGTGGTCATCGGCGTGCGCATGCGGTATGGCATGAATCGGTATAGACGTGGGAGAAGAGAGGATGTCGGGGCAGTTATGCGACAAGATGGCGGATGCAATGGAGGGGTGGAGGGGTCGCTGCGATCGCTAGCTTTAACCCCACATGGCAAGCCCACCCTGAAGCAACAGCAGCCATGATTGATCTGCGACGATGTACTTTAGCTCTGCTACACTATAATCCTATACACACTCCCCTATATTAGAAGTCTATGACGAAAAATTCCTCATGGGCTCACGGCGGGGACTCGGGATCTGGTCCTTCCTTCTGACGGCCGCCTACATCACTCGATGTTTGTCTGTCACAATGCGATTCGATAATAGTTGGTTTGAGAATTTCTTTGATTCAGAGAGCTGGAGTCCAGTGGACGGCTCAGTACATGGTTCTATGGGTACGAAAGAACATCTTTTGTCTTCCGGTGCTCATCATGTAATGCTTTTAACCGCTAATCGCAGCAACACACCGTTTGCTGTAATAGCGACTTCTTTCCTCTTCCGAACGCCAAAGACCTGATCGATACAGGCTTCCAAAAGCCCCAATGGGTATGCAAAAAGTATGAAATGTTGCGCAGATACTTGTGATCTGCCTTTGCAGAGTATGCGGAATACAAATGAGCCCACCCGGAAAAGAAATCGCTGAAGTGGTATAGAACAAACAAAAGAAACTCGGGCATTGGTATCGTAAGTGTCCGTGACATAAAGGACAAGAATAGATGCAGTGTGAACGCAAACATTAGGGTATGTCGGTGACCAGGCGCCATCCAGAGGCGGTCTATGAAGAAAGGCGCAATGAAGCGCAGTACACATGTCTATGAACCCTTTAGGTTCGCGGTCGAGAAATTGAAGTTGAGGAACTCGAACTTGTCTTTCGAATTGGTTCGGCTCTCTGCTGAAAATGTGCTTTGTGCACTGTTGTCGATGGAGGGTGAGCCTCTCGTAGAGTGTTGAGCTTCACGCGGCTCAAGAAGCAGCGATCGGCGATAGTAGCTTTGGACGTTGGCCTGGTCGCTTGCGTGCATTCGCTGGATTTGGCTTTCCATCCAGTCCTGCATTTCTGGTATGGCAGCCAGTCGGTAAGGAACTTGGAATGATTGGAGCTGACCGATGATCTTGGCTGTCTTCATGTGTTTGTCGAAGTTGATAACGGAGACGCTGTCAGAACCGGAATCTCCGGGGAGCTGCCGTGTGGTGCCATTGCCAACGTCGATAAACGTTAGATCGGTTAGATAGATACCAACAAATGGAATGCATGGCGCGACGTGGTTCTGCAGACGCTGTCGGAGGACAGCATAATTACGTCCCA